GTTTATTGGGTAAAGGCCACAGGAGGGCCCGGTGCTCCCCGCGGGGCGCACGCGGCCTCGGAAATAAAGAATAGAATCGAGAATTATATCCCTGGAGCCCTAAATCCAGGCCTAAGGCACGGCTGGTGGTGGCTTTGGTTGGAGGTGGTGGGCTGGTGGCTGGAACTCCCCCTCTTCCTCCCCCTCCTCCCCCTCCTCTTCCTCCTCCTCCTCCCTCGGGGTGAGGACGCAGCAGAGCGAGGCCTGGGGGCTCCCCCATGTCCTGGGGGCAGGACAGCCTCCAGCAGCCCAGTGCCCGGCGTCCCCGGTGTCCCCATCTGGGCAGCGTCCCCGCTGCGGCCGCTCACACCTGCGGGATGGGGTAGGAGGCGCAGGCGGCCAGCCCGCACATGTTCTTCCCGCGCTCGATGAGGAAGTACCTGCGGGAGGGGAGGGTGGGCTGAGGCCTGGCGGGCGGGCGGGCGGACCTTCCGGGGTGTCTGCTGCTCCCCGAGACCCGACTCCACGACTAGCCCCTGGGTTGAGGCTAAAACGGTGGCCTGGGGCTTGTTTATCTCCAGGAAATCACTGGCCTGACTTGGTGAGCTCCCCCTTCTCTCACTCCCCCCAGAATTCCCTGGGGAGCCCTCTCTGGCTCCCCTCTTGTAGTTATTTCATTACCACCAGGTCCCCCCCAAAGTGAGGACACGGACAAAGGGGCCTGGCTTGCGTGGCTCAGGGGCTGAGTCGACCCATGAACCAGGAGGTCAGGGTTCGATCCCTGGTCAGGGCACAGGCCCGGGTTGCGGGCTCCATCCCCAGTGGGGGGCGTGCGGGAGGCAACCGGTCCATGGTTCTCTCTCATCATGGATGTTTCTCCACTCCTGCATCTTTCAAGTCCTTGATGGCGGCACTAATGTCTGCAGTCTCTCCAGGAAAATGGCATTGCTTTTGGTTTACTACTTTCCTAGTTAAGGCAGTTCTTGTGGCTTCCATCTGGCCTTTCCCACCGTAACAGTCCTCATCCCACAGGTTAAGGAGCCAATGTGTGTATTCTGCTCACTGTTGATTATATCAACGCCAATTATGCATTCCAAGAACTGGAAAAATAACCACGCCCCCCAGCACAGGGACCGGGCGCCTACCCGTTCATCCCCCACTGGGGACCCCAGGAGTTCTTGACGATCCAGTAGGGCGTCCCGTTCTCCTCTCCGTACCCCACGGCCAGCACCGCGTGGTTCACCTTGTCCGGGGTTTTGTGGCAGGAAGTGCTGGGGACACACAGGGAGGGACACGCTCCACGTCAGCGGCGCGCGGTGCTTCCACAGGGGGAGCCGGCGCTTCCAGAAGTGGGGGCTCCTCCACTCGCCGGGCCAGAGACCCCGCTCTCAGCTGTGCTCACGCAA